GTCAGATAAGTCGCATGGTCGAGGCATGCGAGTTGGCTGAAAATTACTGTCGGTGGGAGAATTCTGCAGTCATTGCCGCTTTCCTTAGATGATCAAAACTGATTAGTATATTACCGTCTCTCCAGAGCCCATAGTTTCGGTTTCGAACGAAATCTCCGAAACGAAAGTCTGACATGAAAAGAACAAAAAACAAAGTTGGGAAACAAAACTATGCGCTGCAAGTTTATGTGCACCGGCTACACTTAACCGTCTCAGTTCAAATACCTATAAAATTGGGCCTTAAACAAAAGAAAATGTGTTAAATTGAACGCGCCACCTGTTCAGGCGGCCCTGCTGAGGCGACGCGACCTGGACTCAGCCGCCATGTTTGTTTGGTGGTGGCGCCCCCTATAGGTCGCTGGAGTCGCGAATAGAGAGGAACCATTGCTAATATCTGCTTCGAGAGCGACGGACTCACTTGTTTTATAAACAAAGAAACCTACCAATGAACACCTCGTGGGACTCAGGCGGCGTAATTTGACGTCACCGAAACTGCAACGGTCTAGTTGCTAGTGGGCGCTACGGGAGACTCGTATCGGTAACACTCTAAGCCCATTGAGTTTATTAGGCGGCGCGTTCAAGCAGCTTCCGTCTCATTGCCTCCGAGGCAATGCACCTGCGTATGGCACCTAAAGTGGCGTGTTCGAATTCCGCCTGAGGTGTCTGCAATTTGACGGACGTTTATTGTAGAGAAGGCGCCGTGGTAACGGAGATTTCGGTTGCACGTCAGAAGATCTCTAGGTGACCGGAATCAATCCTCGGTCCTCTGCTAATGCGTTCCGTATAGCCTTTGGAGATTTGTCACGGAAAACCGGCAAATATAACTTTGTTATGTCCATGGAACTTGAGTGGCTCTGTGATGGCACGTTCGGTTCGCAATTAGCGAATCAGGGAATTAATCTGGCGGCAACGGGTTTTCGGATATTTTTTTTAAGCGTTTGGCTTTATGAACGACCAGCCCCCTAAGACTACAAGCATATAATTTTGTGGAGGGGAAAGAGCCCGTGACACCTATGGTTTTATCGACACTGAACCTGCGTAGACGTGTTCATCTGATGAAATTTCATCGTCCTAAAGCACCCTACCCTCTCCCCTCCTCTCTCCTCCCTCGCCCCTCCCCTTCAAACTGGTTAGGGTAGTGAAGGGCGATGTGTGGTGTCACGTCGCGTTACAGTGTCTACGTCTTGGATATCGCGAAATGCTTGACATAAAATATTCCCAAAATAGGCCGCGAGGATTCGATCCCATGTCTGCTGAGTGGTAAGAGAGTGCTCCACCAGATAGCTACTAGCATACCGCCGCGTAGCAATGGCACGTGAGAGAGCAAATATTCGAACATGAGTCTTGCGCTGCGCTCGATAGATAGCCGCAGGAGCGGCCACGTCGCATCACGCCGCATGAGCCTCACACCATGTTCGTTAGAGTTTATGCGTGAAACAAAACACAGGGTCTCTTATGCATATCCCTAAGACGACTTGAAGGCGAAAGACCAAGCGCCAATGCATTAAAAGCGCACCTATGATTTACTTGACTTCAATTAAGTTAAATTCCCCTCAATTGACTTTGTCATCATTAATGTTATTGCCTCTAATTCGCCTGAGTGGTGAGTAAACGTTTTGGTAACTTTCGTGTCGCCGACGTCTTTGAGCTCAAGGATATTGAAGGTTGAGTGAACGCCTTAATAAATGAGCACGTAACTCTCGGTGCGCATATTGGCTATGGCTCGTCGACGTACGCTACCGTTTGAAGCAAAAGGAGAGGAACAACGCAAAGGTAGACTTGTCGGAACGTCGGACTTGTCAGACCGTAAAGCAGAAAGCATTTGAAGCAGCAGCACGGTGTCGCCGCCGAGAGAACACTGAGGTGCGTTCTCGTGAGAGTGGTGTCAAGAAACTTTGTTTTCAAGAGCACCAGCACGACTTCACGACTTCTACATTGTTGGGTATGTACAAAGCAATGTAAAAGGTACCCATTCGCACCACCAGGGTGCGCTGGTCTTCGCCCTGAAAAGTGTATCTTCTCCATATTGAATTTGTTCTTTGTGTGCTGTTCCTCTCAGTGGGAGCTTCAGTTCTTTAACGCTTCGACGCGACACAACAATGGCGACGAGGATGGGATAGAAGATCAAATGAATCGAGTGACAACATGGCAAACGGCACAATGCCGATGTTCACGGAGTTCAAGCCGGAGGAGGACGGCGCCGACGAGTATCTCGAACGCTTCGAGATTTTCCTTTGAGTGAACGCTGTCAAGCCGGAATACAAGGCCGTGACGCTGCTGAACTACATCGGGAAAGCGTCGTACTAGGTTCTGAAAGCCTCGCACACCCAAGACTCGCAGGTATCGAAATCATACGACGTACTTTCCGAGGTGGTGAAACGCCACTACGCGCCCTAGCGCTCAGTGATTGCAGAGCGCACGAAGTTTCATTGGAGAAATCAAGAGGTCGGCGAGAGCCTAGCGGACTTCTCCTTGGCTATCAAGAAGCTCGCCCAGACATGCGCGTTCAAAGACTACCTCGACCAGGCTGTTCGGGACCGACTCGTGGCTGGGTGTCGCGACCCTGAGGTACAGCGGACACTCATCCAGCTCGACGATAATTACTTCAACAAAGTTCTCAAGGTGGGCCCGGCCAAAGAGCTTTCTATGCGCAAAACGGACGAGATACGACAGCCCGGCGTTCTGGACTGAATGGACGTGCACCGCGTTCAAGGTGAAGGTGAAGGACACTTCCGGTGTTCACATTCCGCCATTTCCTTGCCACAGGTCCAGTATCAGCGTACGGTAAGCCCTTGTTTCAGATGCGCTAGTACCGTGCATGCTTCCGAAAAGTGTCCGTTTGTGAAAGCAAAGTGTATTAAATAAGGGAAGCAGGGGCACACTAAGGCTGTGTCCAGTGCCAAGCCTAAGCCCACTTCGAACACCAAGCGCGGACCTTGGAGCGAAGCCTGCATGCGAAAGAATGACGCGCCTGCGGCATTCCAAAAGGTATTGGAAATCGAAGGACAACCGGTGACGATGGAAATCGACACTGGTTCAGCAGTTACTTTGATGCAAGAAAGATTGTATGTGAAATTGTTTCCTCGCGTGCCTTGCGAGGCGAGTAACATGCGTCTCCGAACGTACACCGGGTCTCTGGTGCCAATCAAGGGTGTAGTGAGCGTTAGTGCAAAAAACAAGAATCTACCAAGCAAAAAATTACCTTTCACTGTGGTAAAATCTGCGAATTCCCAGCTGCCAGCGCTTCTAGGCAGAGACAGGAGCGAGCAGTTCGAAATTAACTGGTCGGGCGTGGGTCGTATCAAGTGCGATGCGGTGACAGACTCACTGAAAAGTTCGTTTCCTAGCCTCTTTGAAGGTCTAGTGAGGCCGATAAAGAATTTTCAGGCAAGGATTGTATTGAAAGAAAACTCTCAGCCTGTGTTCTCTAAACACAGAGGGGTGCCATACGCATTCAGAGAGCATGTAGAAGGCGAGCTTGAAAAAGTGGTGGCGCAGGGCACTCTGAGGCCTGTAAAGAAGAGTGAATGGGCAGCACCCCGCATTGTGGTTCCCAAGTCAGGGGGTAAAGTTCGCATCTGTGGTGACTACAGTGTGTCCATAAACCCACAGGCCACGGTAGATCACTACCCATTACCGAGGGTAAATGAGGTATTCACCAACTTTCAGGAGTGTGGCATCTTCGCTATTTTGGACCTGAAGACTGCATACTTGCAGTTAGCCCTTGACGAAGCATCGCCGAAACTGTTCACAGCGACCACTCACCTAGGATTGTTTGAGATTGCACGGATGCATGAACTTTGTGTGAATCAGGACAAGTGTCAAATATTATTACGTGCAGTGCGTTGTTTGGGATACTTGTTGAAGGACCAGGGTTTGAAGCCATGCCCTGAGAAGGTGGAGTCTATCAAAAAGGCACCCGCACCGAGTAACATGACAGAGGTTAAGGCATTTGTGCGGCGGCTAGCTTTTTACGCTCGTTTCCGTCCACACTTACCTGCCACACTGGGACCTTTGTATAAACTCCCGAAGAAGGACACGAAGTGGCATTGGTCGGCAGACTGCCAACAGGCTGTAGACAGAAGCAAAGAGCCGTTGTGCAGTGCTGGTGTGTGTGTCCTCTACGACCCTAGTCTACCGGTTCGAGTGACGGCCGATGCATCCAGCTACGGCCTCGGAGCAGTCTTAACCCAAGACATGAGAAACGGGGACTACAGACCAGTGGAGTATGCGTCCAGGACGCTTACTGTGGCTGAACAATACTACGCACGAATGGAAAGAGAAGCCTTGGCACTGATATTTGCGGTCAAGAAGTTTCATATGCATCTCTTTGGGCGTTCGTTCACCCTAGTAACACACAAATACCCGCTAACGTCTATCCTGGGACCTAAGTATTATATAACAGCCATAGCTGCTGTGAAGATCCAGAGGTGGCGCTTGTTACTAGCAAAGTACACTTCAAGATCCTGTACTGCAAGAGCGCGGAGTTCGGGGATGTTGATGCCCTACGGAGACTTCCTCTGAAGAGAACTGTGGGAGAAGATAGTATGTTGAAATATTTTTCTTTTACAGAACAACCGCTTTTTTCAAGTGCCGATGTTGGGAAAGAGACCCTCTGCGACCCCTTGCTGCAACGTGTCCTTTAACACACGAAGAGAGGTTGGCCAACATCCGTGCAAGATCCAGGGTTGCAACACTACTGACGGAGGCGGAAGACGCTGTCAACGGACCAGGATTGGCTACTGTGGGGGATTAGAGTCGTGATTTCACAGGCACTACAGGCTGCGGCCCTCAAGAGCTTGCATGAAGAACATCCAGGAAGGGTGCGTATGAAACAAGTTGCTAGAGGACATGTGTGGTGGCCCTGAATAAACCCCATGATCGAGAACAAGGTGCAGTCACGCGAGATCTGCCGAGCGGTCCAATACGACGTTCTTCCAGTACCACTCCAGCCATGGAAGATGACCTCGCGGGTCTTCGAACGCATTCATGTGGACTTTGGAACCACGTCGGAAAATAACCTGTTTGCTATGGTTGACAGTTCTTCTAAATGGGTTCAGGTCCTGCCCATGTCTTCCACAACCTCACCCAAGACAGTCGAGAAACTGATGGCTGTCTTCGCACAGTTTGGACTACCCGAAGAAGTGGTGACTGATGGAGGCCCCCAGTTTCGAAGCGAGGAGTTCAAGAACTTTTTGAAGGATCAGGGAGTGGTGCACACCATGACGCCTCCCTACCGCCCGGCTTCGAATGGCGCCGCGGAGAAAGCTGTGCAAACAGTCAAGCGAGCGCTGCTCAAGCAAGTACTTGAAGACGACCTCCAAGGGAGCAGACAAAATATCCAGGAGAAGTTGTCGTGTTTCCTACTTGCCACCGGACGACACCACACACAAGTACTGGAAAGGCCCCTGCAGAGCTGTTCCTAGGACGGCCTCCGCGGACACGACTGTTGCAGCTCAAGCCAGGTGCAACGTCGCTTCCACGACGAGAAAAGCAGAACAAGAAAAAGGAGCTGGCAGACAACCGCAGAGGTCCAACGAAACTCTTTCAAGTGGGCGACAGAGATTAGGTCAGAAATGTGAGGCGGGAGAGAGTAAACTAGACTAAAGGAATTTTAAAGGAAGTGATCAGTCCGGTTACATACCTGGTGCGGGTGGCTAACCAGATTCGTTATGTGCATGCTGATCACTTGCGCTTTTGAGGTGAGGGCTCGTCTCGATCAGCCTCTTCGGAGAGTGATTCGAGTGACAGTAAGAGTGTTGCCGAACCGGGCGAATGTGAGGTCCCAATGCCACCGCATGCTGATAGTAGCATAGCTGCTCAGGAAGGTCGAAGGTCGAGCTGAGCTCGACGTCCTCCAAATAGACTGGTGTACTAGTGTCCGTTTTTGTAAGTGGGGAGGAGTGTTGTGTATGTATAAGGCAACGTAACAAGTACCCATTCGCACCACCAGGGTGCGCTGGTCTTCGCCCTGAAAAGTGTGCCTTCGTTATATTAAATTTGTTCTTTGTGTGCTGGTCTTCTGAGTTGGACCTTCTGTTTGGCTCTGCGGCGCGACACAACATCCATCATGTATATTTTGGGGTGACAAGTTGTCGCAGCCATCGCGGTGGCTGCAGCGTGGCTGCAACATTGTGGACTGCCAAACTAGTTCTTTAATCGAGATAAAAAAAAACGCGAAAACGGCGACACAGAGTCAGAGAAACACACGCACACGCATATGCGGGACAGGTAACTAACTGGCAACTAACGCTGATTGAACGGAAACGTTTGCGTGACGTTCGAATCAATTAATATACATTAGTTGCCCCTCAGCTCCTTCTTGCGCTTTGCGTGTTTCTCCGTCTTTGTCCCGCCCCTTTTGTGTTTATTTTTTAAATAAAATTATGCTGTGTTGTGGATTCACGCTAAACTGCTCAATTGATTTTATGCTGGAGTTTGTTTAACAGCATTTCTGTTCGCACACTAAATCTGACCACAACAAACTCCACCATCTGATGGGATACTTCAAGCAGTACCAGATTTGTATCGTGAAGGTGGTTGTCTTGTTTGTGCGGTTTTTTTCACCGGTTAAACCAATCAGTCAAAGCGAATCCCTCGTATTTCTGCGTTCTTTTTTTGTATTTGTTCGTGATAAGTTCACTTATTCATAGAAGATGTGCAAAACAACGAGCGCCGTGGAGATGCAATTTTTGAGCAGCTTGATGGGTCTGATTAGTAGTTACTAGCCGTCAGACTCTACGTGGAAAACCACCTAAGTAATTATAGTTAAATTTAGACTCTGAAGGTTTCGTCCTACTCTGACGATAATCGTAGCAAATGTGGCGTTACGCAGCACATACAGGCACTGATAGGTCGCAGATATCAAGTTCCTGCTCGCGTGGCAATAAAAGGCGCGCCTTTCGCTCTACGCTACGTCCGCTGCGCTGGAGGTGGGGTTGTAAGAGAGGCTAAAAGAGGCCGACAACCCTGCGCCAGCACCTGGGTACTCGTCATCGGTCGCCTCCGTAGCGAACACGGCGGCCTTTGATGCCTGAGTGTCTCGCTGGTGGAGGATAGGGAGATTTCATAGATAGATTCCGCTACTCTAACGTCGAGGACATCACCACGCAGGCGCACTAGCGGCTTCTTTATCGCGGAGGGCTTAGCGACGGGGAAATGTGGTGTATGACAACTCTCTAATGATGACGACAGCGGCGGCGTTCGCTTATGAACCCCCCCTCTCGGGGAGTGCCGGTCCCTGAGGGCATGCATCCGCTGCGGCAGAACCGGACGGCGAGCTCCATGGCAGACCGCTAGGGTGGCGAAGAAAGGCTCCTGCCGGTTTTGCGCGCAGCGGCAGTGGGGAAGAAACTGTGAAGACGGAAGATTTGAAGGACTCTTATGGGGGCGGGAACCGGGCCACGACGGACATTCGCGATCGACCGCGACCTCGAATCGGGTGGCGGCCCTGTGGTATGGACCGGAGTTAGACTCCGGATTCGACCCTCGACGTCGACGTCTCCTGGATGCGGTGTGGACTAGCACCAGTGGGACGATCGGCAGGCTCGAGACAGTGGCGGCGCACCCCTCTCTTGCTTTCTCCATGACCTTCTCCGATCCCCAAGACCCCACCTCCCTCCCCCAGCGGAATGTGAGTGGACTGAACCCCTTCTGTCGAGGGCTATGCATTTACGTGTCACGTTCATGTGGATACGAGGGACTGCGGAATCGGACATGAACCCAACATGGATAAAATCGCAAGTTCATTGGCTAAGTAGTCATAACAAAATACCCTGGACGTACCATAGCTGTTTACTGTATTGCCGCATAACATTTATGGCTCATTGTGTTTCTTTTTTTGTAAGCCGAGCAAAAAGTATTCGGATGGAAGTCCACAAGCGGATAGTGTGTTCGCCAAATAAAAAGAAGGAATTGGGTTCTAATGAAAGTAGCGACGATAGTTTACCAGATGATTCTTCACGGTGAAGAAGGGGGGTTATCAAATTTATGCTGTTTGCTACGTGATTCCTCCTTTCCCGTCCTGATGTGATGACCGCTCAATCTCATTTGCTGCGCAGCGATAATAATAGGCATTCAATTGGCTACGACCGGAGTTTCTTAAACCCTCTGTTACAATAGCAGGGCACTCTAGGGCCAAATCATAATGTTGAAAAAATTGCTCTTTCGTCATACCTTGCGACATACTTTTTTTTTTTTTCATGAGTGTTGTAGGTTAGCAGTCAAAACACATTGCTCACACTTTTCCACTTAATATAAAATCCCTCCAATACTGCTTGCATTTCATAAACATTCAACGCACGCCTATGCTTTCCTGCATATCATGCGAATGCATAGTATGCTATTTACGGAAAGAAAAGCCTAATGAAAATGTGCACATCGATTTCTAGCTCGATGGTGGTATTCGCGCCCCAATCCTAGTAACGTTATCGTATTAGGAGCAAGGTGTAGATACAAATAACTTTATCCAGGGAAATCGGTGAGTCATCATTCGTGGTATTTTATTTTTAAAAAAAGACGGCAATTTTTTTTAATTATTAACCACTCTGTAATGTTGATCTCGCTGCCTTCGTTCATAAAAAGGTCGCACTATATCTGCGGGACTTTATGAGATAATTTTTCTCGTACAAAAACACGCAAAACAAACAAAAATAACGTGGAAGGCGAGTGTGATGATTATTTATATTCACCGGTGGAAATGATGGTAATACTTTATTTGGAAAAATTCCTTACTTTTCTGCTTTTTCCTCACTGATAAACTCGAAGTTTAAGAATAGGCAAGGTTTACAGTTTCCGCCCTTTTTCACTAGATATTTTGTTCGAGCATGTTGCGTGGGGTGGTGTCCGAGAGAATCATTTCCGGGTGTAATTCCTAAAGTTGGCAGGGATTCGAAAGCCTCAGGCAGGGACGGAAATTGCGTTGGCAGATAGATGCTGAAATGAGTCGCAACGGGAAGGGCGAAATATCTCCGAGAGATTACTCGATCAGAGAGCAGAATTAAACATCTGTTTCGGGTCTTTTCAGTAATTATTTTTATCAAGGCCTGACTACTAACCGTATTGAATAACTAGTTTTATCTAATTTGTTTTTTTATGGTAATTGACAGAAAAGTGAATTAAAATGCGGACACACGATTGATCACCTATTTTCTGGACCAGTTCCAGTGCAGTTTAATTATTATATAAAAAAACTGTTGCTGGCTCTGTGGAGGACTAACTGCGTCAGTTCATAGTCTGGTTTAGCTTAAGGTAAAAGTCAAATACGCTGGTTTCGCCCTCTGTCTGGCTTTGCAGGGATGTGTTAAAATGCACACTAAGCAACACTTTTTACCGCGAACGGGGCATTGCAGTTTTTTTTTTTACATTTTGCTTGGGTAGCACATTGACGGGCGTCCGTTTTTACCCCTTTGGGATAGTACCTCAAGTTATCACTTTCAACAACTCTAGTAGCTTTAAAAACAACCGCTTAATTATCAGCTAAAAAGTGTCATTTTTGTACGCATGTGTCGCGTTGAATATGTTGTGATATATGAGTATTCATTGGGACACAAAAATCGACGCGATTCAGAAACAAAGCAACGGAAACTACAGAATTATTAAGATGTTTAATTGAAAGGTTCTCATTTTTGAATTAACACAAAAAATAGTTTCGATTTCATCCTTAGTGAAACAATAACAGGCCTCCTAATAAAAATAATTGTGAAAATAGTTGAGTTCCTAATACTTATCTATTTATTTATTTACCCTAAAACCCTTTCGGGCATTACATAGGGGGTGGGGGAGGGCAATCATAGACAAAGGTAGTGCACTTTGGGACAAAAAGATGACGTTGGCGCAACATATAATAACAGAAAAGACAAAAAAAAAAGAATGCTTAGTGAAAATTAGGTAGGCAAAACCTACATACATCGCTATAAATTGGTTAGGGCGTTGGAAAACATCTGGGCTGAAGTGATCGACGCAATATCGCTGGGTAGGCTGTTCCAATCGGAGACAGCAAGGAGGAGAGGGGAGTTTTTGAATAGGTTGGTGCGAGCAAAAATGGGGCGTACTTTGAAGGGGTGATCTACGCGGGATGAGACATGATGAAGTGGCTGGATGTATGAATCTCTGAAAGCAGATGAACCATGGTATAGCTTCTGGAAGAAGGACATGCGGGAAATATATCTACGACAATGAAGTGGCGGAAGGTTGAGGGAATGTTTTATGTTAGTCACACTTGAGTATCGGGAGTAATCCTTAGCTATGAACCAGGCGGCTTTATTTCGAAGTGACTCAATATTATTGGTTAGATACATCTAATGAGGGTGCCAAATAATGGACGCGTACTCCAACTGCGATCGTACGAGTGAGGTATACGCAAGATGCTTAGTTGCTTTATTAGCCTGGAACAATGAACATTTAAGAAATCCTAGAGTTTTAGACG